TGATAGAGGTTGTCCTGATATGCGTCTGTGTTAGGAACTATCACAAGGCACAGCTTACACAAATACATATATTTGCATTATCCGCGACTCTCCAGGTCCTACGGCTTGTGGTGACTCATCCTCTTAGAAATTTCGATATTTTTTTTGGTGCATAGTGCGTAAAATTTGCATGAATGGAAGTGGTTTGAAATTTAAATTACAGAAATGAGAATTTTAAAATATTTCCAAGCTACAAATATCCACGAATCAGAGGTTTGAGCTGAAGGTTTTTTCAGTCGCTGCAAAATGAAAATCGAAACTCGGTTGCAGTGATGGGCAGCCATGTTTTTTTTAACGATACAATGTAAAAGGGAAGTCACTCTGTTTTACTCGAACTTCAATGGTGTTGCAAACTGCAATCATAAAGGTATGAAATCACATTTTCATATTTAATATAAATTTAATTCAATTCAATTTAAAACCATAACTTTATTGGTTAATATCCCAAACTATCGAGGTTTTAATATCATTTTATAATATCATGTGTCTACTGTGTATAGTATGTGACACATCAGGTAATCACGTCTATGTAACATGGTTTTACCTGAATGTGTGACGGTGTCAACTGTATAACATCATTGTAGACAGGATTTTAACATACCTAGTTCAGTTAATTATACAGGAGTTTGTTATATACAGATTGAGTTCCTAGAGTCAGGCATTTTATTATGAAGAAGATTTTTTTTACATAGATTTCATTATATTCATGTTTTCCTCATATTTATTTAACATTATTTTTTTCATTACATCAAAGATTTCAATATAAAACTTGCAGAACTTCGGGTTAGACAACCAAAAGACATCACCCTTCAGGTTGGCGATTTCTCTGTCACACCCTCAGGGTAGGGGAAGATTCTATTAATCCACTGTAAGGAGGTTTCCAGAAGTTTTTGTATGAGCAGTTGCAGAAGTATCCATCATTAAGTAAATAGTATTAAGGTACTCCGGTATATTATTAATTTCAACTCATTCATCCCTGAAACTTCATAATGAACTATTCCAACCTTTGAATTGAAAGAGTTCAAAAGTGTCTTCAGGGGTGAATGAGTTAATGAGGGTTCCAATTTACACAGGAAGTCACAGAGCCATCCATTATGGAAAATATCTATTATAATCAAGGTTCTATTTTAACAGGTAGACACAGCTGTCCATCTATTATAATGAAGGTTCTGTTTTACACAGGTAGACAGGTATCATCAATTCAGACGGTCAATTATAGAAAATATCTATTATAATGAGCACATTTTACACAGGAAGATATAGAGCTGTCCATTATAGAAAATAGCTCTGTGGGTTTTTAAACCTGAATTTTACAAATCCTGGTCCTTTATGAATTGGGGAAAATATAACATTAATTTTTATCTCAATTGGGAATATATTCATCATTTTTGGTCATTTTGGTAAAGTACTTCTAACTTTTTAGCAAGGGGAAACAGCCTGTATCCGGCTGTAAAACTGAGCAAAATAATCAGTCTATTATCATAATGGTTACTTTTCATACAGGTATCATATAGTCAGACAGCCATTATAGAAAATATCCATTTTATACAGGTAGACACAGGTATATTCTATTAGGAGCTGTTATTATAGAAAATAACTATTATAATGAGAGTTTTAACTGATGTCCCATACATACACAGCTGCCTGACGTTACCTCATACAATAAATTACAAGTGTGTCTGGAATATCAACTTCAGACTTTAAACTCTATTTGACCTCTGAACCTTTAGGGAGTACTAGTTTTTAAGAAACTATACAACACAAGATTTCATCTGTAGCCAAATTATTATCATTCAACGCTATTGCCAGTGTCTCCTGTATTTGGTTATGATGATATAGCAGATCTAAGGTAAAAACTCGTAACCCAGGTAAGACCTCCAGCTACGTAACAGCGCGACCTGCCTAGCGTACCAGAGTTCACCTGAGGTAAAAACACACACAGTAAGTGATATCAAGTGAACCACTACCTGGGTCAATGTATCAGCAACTTCAAATCAACTTACAAATTTCTTTTCTCGATGCGATATTTCTTGCAAAGAATAGAAGATACCCACAGAGCTTTGATATGATGACTGATTTCATTTGTGTATCTATATTTTTGTTAAAATACAGTTTAAATATTATTGAATTATAATAAAAGGCTACAGGTAAAGCGATTAGTGAATTGACAATGCTTTATAACGCCAGGTAAGGGAGACATTATCAGGCGCAGACATCAGTGACTGGCAGTGATAACGTCCTATATGTAACAGGTAGGCCACAAGGCCTAGTGGCGTAATCTCCAGTTTTTTTACCAGTGACTGCCATTGCTGACACAACAGGTAAACCTCCTATTTAATCATATAGATGAGGCCTATACTCAAGCATACTCAAGCATACACAGGCCAAGCCAATCAAGTTATCAGGTTTTCACAAAAGGTGAACTACCTATGTCATCAAGTCAAGCATACACAGGCCAAGCCAATCAACTTATTCAATGTTCACAAAAGGTAAACCTATTTAACCATATCAGCAAGGTTTATAAAAATACACAGGCCAAGTTTATCAACTATTGGGTTTTCACAACATTATGTCAAGGAGGTCTATAATACAGGATACCCAGGCCAAGCCATTAAACTGTTAGTTTGTTTACAACCTCTATAACCTTAACTTACAGTTTGACATGCCAGGTAATTATTGTAAAAGTATCCAGACTTGAGGCCAGGGTGAACAAAGTGTTTAATGATTAAGTAAATACAGGTAACTATGGTGTATATATGGTCCTCAGATTAAGGCCAGGCCAACTGAAGTGTTAGGTTCATATTACTTCATTCAGTTGTGAAGTTTCCAGACTGAGGCAAGGCCAACTAAATTGTTCAGTTCATGTGACTAAACCTATAAATGTACATTCACCTGACAAGATAAACAGGTGGATTGTAGCCATGGTTGATTGAATTCCATGATAAAACAGTCATGCTCTGTTGAAGACAGTTTTTGGTAAAATATCAAACTACTGCATGTTGTATGGATGATTTTGTTTTATTATGTCACGATACGGCGTAAGATAATGGAGTATTGATGATGGTAATTATCCATGGTTATATCTACCTCATTGTTTTAAATTGTTTCATCTGAAATCTGTGAGACCAGACGTTGTACCGACATTTATGTGGTACTGAAACACTGTGGAACATTTAATTTTCAGATTACAGTTGTTAAAGCCACAGTACTATCTCCATTAACTCTTACGAGTTGTCATTTCAGTGAACTTAAAGTGTCATAGAAGTCGACGACGCAGGAACTGTCTGTAGGATCTTCTTACTAAGAACGTGTAGAGTATGTTTAGTGTCTAGTTCCTTACTACTTTAATTCTATCTGGCTTTCATTTCTCCAAAAGGATCTTGGCATCCGCCATCACATGACCTTAGTAGGTTCTATGCGAGTGTAATCTGCTCTATTATCAGTTTGGTTGATAGTTTTGTCAACAGTAAATGCAATGCATCTTGTGGTAACTTTTGATTAAAATTTCATACAGCTGGGTTTGAGCACGTCATTTCAGTTAGGGAATCTCACACTTTTTGAGAAAAAGAGAACGAACTTGAAATGTCAAAATTACAAATGACTAGGTGGCAGCCATCTTGTTCTTCCAATTAGTCTCAAAAGGGAACATACACAACTAAGGGCAATGGGGAACCCTACATGTGGAATTTGAGAATGCAAATAGGTCAAGAAATTTTGAAAAATAGAGATAACAAACTTGAACTGTTATAATCTAAGGTGACAGTCTCGTCCTACACAGCCTTTCTTACCCTGGACAGCTCTATATTACACAGAGAATATCTTACATCACCTGTCTTATCAATAACACTATCAAACATTACCCTGGACAGCTCTATCTTACACACAGAATATCTTACATCACCTGTCTTATCAATAACACTATCAAACATTACCCTGGACAGCTCTATCTTACACAGAGAATATCTTATATCACCTGTATTATCAATAACACTATCAAAACATTACCCTGGACAGCTCTATCTTACACACAGAATATCTTATATCACCTGTCTTATCAATAACACTATCAAACATTACCCTGGACAGCTCTATCTTACACAGAGAATATCTTATATCACCTGTCTTATCAATAACACTATCAAAACATTACCCTGGACAGCTCTATCTTACACACAGAATATCTTATATCACCTGTCTTATCAATAACACTATCAAAACATTACCCTGGACAGCTCTATATTACACAGAGAATATCTTATATCACCTGTATTATCAATAACACTATCAAAACATTAGCGTTTGTCTTATTAACATATCATTTTTGTTGACATGTGATACATATAGGAACTTTAATTTTGTTTTCTTTTTCAGTGATAAGGACTTGGATAAATCTTTTGGACTAATCTAAAAGAAAAAAAACCATACCATTTTCCATGGAAAGCAGGCCAAATTTTGGTCCAAAATTGAACCAATGCTGAGTTTTCATAAGATATCCTCGAATACATTTATGTAGTACCTTGTACATATGGCAGAAAACCCTAAATCAAATTCTACCAGATCAGATATAGGGGGAAGAAATCAAATTATCACCGGAAAATAATTCAGATGTGTATTTTAATGTGTCTGCTACTGTACATGGTCCCAGGGGGAGATGGGAGCCCAATTTGAGCCTGGTTAATTGTGAGATAACTACTCGTTTTAAGAGAGCCTTTTTGACAACATGTAAGAAGAAGTCTGACCTTGGTCACGAGGGACTTCCATCAATTGTTCACCAAGGGAAATATAACTAATCAAATTGCATTTATGTGTCTTAATGTCGTTTCAATCTATCTCCCTAGCTTCCAGCAATACAAGAAAATTAGTCAATCATGTAGTCTTCTTCCCGAAATTGTTAATTTTGAAAAGTCTTTCAAAACGACTTTTTATGCATTTATGCTCATAATTGTTTTGTTTTATTCTAGAATGGCAATGATGTCGGAACCGTGAAAGTAATGCTGAACAAGATAACAAAGCTGAGAAAAATTGAACATGGCTCAATTTTATGCCATCCAAGGGATATACATTTTGTCTACTGTAAGATACTAATACAACTTAATTGGTACCTAGATGTAGTTGAGATATCAAATGTTTTTATAAGTTCAGAAAGACTCGGTGTCCCCCCGGATTCTCACAAAACTGTCCTGGTGTTAGGAATTAGTCGGGGGCTGCCCTTCTGCCAGACCAATCATAGTAAGTTATCTACTATATCATCTGTCTAACGACCTTAAAAGTCTGTACATTGTACCATCAATCTTACACTTTCCAGCCAGCATATTCAGCAAGGTGAAGGTCAGTGATCATCAGAATTGTACCATCGCACTAACTTATGGTTCGAGTCTGATCAAATTTCACTAACGTAGGGGACCAATAAACTAGCTTATAATGTGTTACTGACAAATTACAAGTGGAATTGTGACAATTAAATTATTTTCAAACAAGGTCATTTTGATCATATAGAAAGGATGACATGTATCCCATACATTCCATAAATTAACTCATTAACCCCTGAAATTTTATAATGGACTATTCCAACCTTTGAATTGAAAGAGTTCAAATGTGTCTTCAGGGGTGGATGAGTTAATGTAAATTGATAGCCTCACTGTGACACAGGGTCTAAAGAGTTATGATATTAAGAAGCATCGTTTATATAATGTTATCATTGGTTGAATTATGACCTTACGTTATTTTAAATCTAGACGATTGAAAGTTAATGATGATGTTTCCATTAATTGGACAGACAAATCATGTAATACTTCAATTACTTGAATTGATTAAACTTGACTGTTTCATTGGCTGGACAAATGACCTTGAACAGACAGTTGATTTGACCTTCAGTAGCTTGCCATAGACAACTTTACTTCAAGCACTAAAATCTCCAGTTTTGCATGCACAAATAAAATTCTTTAATTACATTCAAATTTTTATATTGGTATAAAACTTTTTTCAATAGATTTCAAAAAAATG